GAGTCATCATTCAACTCTTGATGTATTTAATTATCTAATTTATAATAAATTTATTTATTATAAATATGTTTCTATATTCTTAGTCTGTGAATGCATCTATGCCATTCATTATGGGTAATTATTTGGAACTTTGGCAATTTTTGCGAAAACAACAGATTCGATATGATTATTCTGATCGTGCTTGGGTACAACAGTTAGATCGGGTAGATCAATGCACAACTTTCACTTATCAAAGTATTGAGATTGATTACTGTAATCAGCTAAGTCCTTTCATTTGTGAAATTGGTATGTTAATTATATATTATTTATTATTATTCTAAGAAAATATATATTAAAAGATATATTTTTCATTACAGATCCTAGAGTAAATATCGATCCATTATCCTGGAGAAAGGATATAATTGCAATGGCTGTGTTAGGATCAGCCGGCATAGCTTTAGTATTATTAACAGCAGCTATTGCACTTTGGATATCTAAATCAAAAAGAAGAAATCTCGAAAGATTAGAAAGACGAAATTCAATCAGACAATCTTTGCATTCTTTACGATCAGTTGGCTCTACATCTGGATTTACTGAACTTGCATATCGACGCAAACCTATTGCAGTAAATATTTTCTTATTTCAATCAATTTTTCTATAATGATCTATCGTATTAACTTAACGTAATTATTATCAAAAATATTTTTAGACAAAACACTCTACAGACACTTTAAATTCAAAATCATTAGATTATAGAAGAATGTTAAATGGCGGAAGCATAGATTCAATGGATAAATCTCAATTAAATTCTTCTATGGAAGACAATCAAAGCTATGATGTATACGAAGCACACAATCTAAGATATTCTCCAAGTACAAGTGACTTCAAAAGTAATACTCAACAATATGGCACCTCACAAAGCGCAGAAAATCCAGTATTTGATTTAACTTATCGTAATGAAGGTTTTAGAAATCATTCCACATTTACTTCAAGGAGCACCAATGTGTGGCCTATAGAATCTGTTACAGAAACTATTGCTGACGAAACTGCAGCTATTGATGCTATTAACGAAAATTCTTATCTTAATACTTCTACTCTTCCATTGAATTCTAGCCTTGCCTTGACTGATTCAATTAGTGAACTGAAACATGACATTGAAACATCAGTATCTTACAGTCCAATGGATTATGATTCAAAACGCAGTTATGATAATGCAACATTAACTCCAAGTCAAACATCAGAGCCTGTTCCAGAATATGCTCCAAACTTTAATCCTCCAATACCACCTCATCCTTATCATTATCATGAAGATAGACCTAGGAGTGAGGCATTATTAGAAACTAATTTGGATACTGGAGAAGAAAAACCTTTACGTTCAAAAAGTGAAGTTTTGTTAGAGACTAATTTGGATGTATTCTTGATAAATGAGCCAACAGAATTGACACAACTTTCAATTGGAGCGCGAAGTAAAAGTCAGCCTTTGGAGACAGCAATGTAAATTGTTGATAAAAAATAAAATAGAAATAGTCAATTATTTTTTATAAATGTAAAAAGAAAAACTGCCAGAAATAAGTTCATTATTGGATTATAAGTTTTATATTATAATATATATTATAGCTCATGATGAAAGAATTTTTATATGGAGAAAATTTCAATTCAATTATTGTTTAGCCCACCGAACTTAATATTTAATATTTAAGTTATTGGAACTCAAAAAAAAGATAAAATGAAATATTATTGAACAAAATATTTTATGTTTATCTTCTTTTTGTAGTTTGAAGTCGAGATCTCGATATTCGGTTGGTTCTTAATTTAATAGATATTAATAGATTTTGAATTTGAAGAACTATAAAGGTTATTATATATTTTATATAAAAAGCTTAAAGTAAATAATTATGTAAAAAAAAAAATAGTATATTTACATATTAAACAAAGTAGATAAATCTTTTATAATGCAAGATTTTATAGTTAAAATGATAATATTTGCAATTAGGATAATTTAAAGAATTGTTTATGAAACATATTTAAAATAATTTACATAATTCTTAGGAATTATCGAATAATCAAATAATTAAATAATTAAATAATCTAACAAATAAAAAAACACAATATAAAAATAAAAAAATGTCAAATACATGGTATTACACTGCCAAACAAATGTAAAACAATATACGTTTTTATACTAGCACGATGAGAAATAAATTCGCGTGTTAACATTGTGATAAGTAGCTCTAGCTGAGCATAAATTGCATTTTAATTTTGTTAGAATACACTTGTTCTCATCATATACAATTATGCATTATATATACACATTAAACATACACAATATTTGATTCAGCATGTGAATTATTTAATAGATACAATTTTTTTTTTTTTTTAGTAAGTGATCTTACTAAGCGTCTTCGTAAAAATTTTATAAGCATATTAACAAATTATCCGTCCATACATATAAGTTCATTATAATGATAGTGCCTTATTTGGCAATGCAATATATGTATATGTATAAATATAAATATCAAAAAATATCTTTTAATTAAAATACATTTAAAATACTTCTTTCATATTTTTTATATTATTATTGTAATATTGTTATTATTATAATAAAGATTCAGAAATTTACATTTTACATACAATTTATCAAGCAACAATAATTCAATAAACAATGATCTATTATAATAAAAATATATTTTTCCAAAGAAAAATCAAGAAATATTTTAACAAATAAGAATAAGCGTCGATTTTTTTTGTGCACGATATTTTTTATGTATATTTAGAACATAATTATTTTGTTTAAATATTATTATATATAATTTTATTAAATATTAAATTATATATATATATAACTTAATATTTATACATTGAAAATTGGCAAAATTAATAAACAATTTAATTAAAATTTTTATTGTTATTTTATCATGGCGAAATTAAAGAAAGACAATTTTACTTTTTTTATATATGTTATAATTAAATAGATATTTTGAAATATGTATACAATATATTACATGACATAATGAAAGGATTGACGAATAAATTATGGAAGACTATTTTAAACAATATTGAATATATTAATATTAATATCGTTAATAACATTATTAAATATCAGGATCAGATTACTATTCGTCGTAGCCGCTTTTTTAAATCGCAAAAACGATCGGCAACCAGAAGATCGCCCATGTTTATAATAAGACGAAAGTATCTTACATTTTTTTTTTATTTTATTTTTTTTTTTTATAAAGTTTTTTATGTACTTAAGATTATGGTGCACATATAAACAAAAAAATAGCTTTGTTTGCTCTGCATTTTCTAGATGCAATTTTTTTAATTTAAATATGTTGAATCTTGTTATAAGATAAGCAAATGTATATACAATTTTTTAATATACTTATTATATATATATTATATATATATTAAGTGATAAGAGAATCTTGCCGAGATCGAATAAATAAAATTTTCTATCAACTATTTTCTCTTAAATTTACAAATTATTTAAATATTTTACTTCAATTTTTTTTTCTTATTAAAAAATGAAAAGTATAATTTGAAACAAAAAAATTTTTGCAAATTTAACACGAGAAAATATCTTAATAATCAGAAACTATACTCATAAAATCAAAAACTCTTGATGATTTACTATTCTTTATTCTAAAAAAGCAACTATAAGATAATATTTCTAAATTTTTCAATTTATTATTAAAGAAATAAATTTATTTTATAAAAAAGAAATTGAAGAAAAATCATTTAAATAATTAATATTGAAACTTTATTTCGGAATTATAATTAAATTCAAAGTAATTAATTTAACAAAAATAACAATAGTAGTACTTTACCTTATATTTTTTTAATACGGGAAATTAGCTTTTTTATTTCTATTGCACACATCACAACAAAAAACAAAAAAATAAAAAATTATTGCACCAATATCATGTGATATAGCACGTTACGGTAACGAGAAACATAATCAACAATGGAATTTGTTCGTGGTACTCATTATTAATTTAGAGTACTATTTTATCTCTTACAATTTAACTTAATTCTTAAAACATCTAACACGAACAAATTCTATCTATGAATCAATAATATTAACTCGGAGCACTCGTATTTTCGAATCACCTCGTCATTTTTCATTGCACACTTCATCGCGACAAGAATCGCTGAATAAAATACAACAAATCGCGTGTCACGAACAGTTTTGGCGCGTACGTTTAATCAGATAACTTCAGGTACTTTTAATTCGAGAGTTTTTCGATAGTGAAAATGTCCTTTAAACATCTCAATATTATTGAATAAATCTGTATTACTAATCTTTCATTTTCTATATTTTTTCTTTTAATTTTATAACTTGTATTTATAACTTGTATAAAGTGAAGTATAAATTATCTTGAAAAACAAAATAATTGTTATATATACTTTGATATTTTTTTTCTTTTAGAACGTACGGTAAAGTTTTTGATGATTACTGCTACACATCGATTGTCGATTATTGAAGCTCGTTTCAAACTTAGCTATAATATTTATGAAAGATATGTATACTTATATGTTCATATAATTTGTATATACAAATATTTGTACATACATATATTCGTGGAATATTGCATAATTCATAAGATACCAAATATTTTGCCAAATTTAATTCTTAATTTTTATCCATAAAATGATCCTGGCTTTTTGAATGTATCTTTTTATATCTAAAATTGCACCTTTATACATGAGTGATTTACAGGAACAAAAACAGAGAAAAACATTTGCAAAACTGCAGAAATATGTTCTCTCAACTGAAATTTAATTCAATACATCTAATTCATTCCTCTCCCTATCTATAAAAGCCAATTATTTTTAATATATTTAAAATTTTCAAGATTTTAAAACTAAGTTCTTTTTATTCAATAAATATTACTTTAAGATAACACATTGAGAAAACTGAAAATTAATTACAAAAAATATTAATATCACATTGCCATGGGAAAGAAATGAAAAAGATAATTAAATATGCTATTTAATTAGAAAAGAATAAGTTGAAATATATTATACAGAATGTCCCATAATAAAGGAGGAAATTTTCGAAAATTGATTCAATCTCTAAAAAATTTTAAAAAGTTTATATAAACATATTTAAAATACAAATGAATGATATTTTACAAATATTATACAACTCAACTCATAAACAAAATCAAGTATGTATAAATATATTCATATATTCATTAATATATATATTAATATATATTAATATATATTCATGTTTATATAAATTTTTTCACTGTTTTAGATACCGAATGATGCTGAATTTCCAGAATATTTTTCATTTGCTACGAAGCATCTTGTATAAACAAATTATGTAATTGAGCGATCAGTAAATCTCAGGTATTAATGTTTTCAATCTAATAGTTTAACAATTAATAACACAAATGTATCATATAATAAATCACTGTAGAAGAATTATAATTATAAATATGTATTTTACTACATACAAGTAAAATCGATTATAAGAATGAATCGATATTAAAAATCGAGGCAGTAATAATATTTTAACGGAAAATGTTCGTGAAATATTTGTAATATTTATAGCAGATTCAATGAAAAATAACTATAAAACCGCATTATCGTGCGATTCGTAGCCTCCTACAGCGATTCAAATAAACCAATGAACCGAAAGCTAACATGAAACGACACTTTGGAATTGCAAATAACTTATTCAGTATAATAAAATTTGAATCTTTACAATGAATTAACGATAATAACGTATCTCGTTTGAATAATCAGAGATAGGGTATATATTAAATTTCATATTAAAACTTTAAATTAAATTAAGTAAAATTCTAAAAAATAAAAACGCTATTTCGCTAGTAATTTTATTTCTTTTTTTTTTTTGTTTTTTTCTTTTTTAATATCTTCGATCACTTTCATCATGTTAAGCGAAAAAGATTAACATGGTCAATGTGATCAAACATAAAACTTTAATTTGATATACGAAACCACAATGTTACAAACAGAATTGTCAAAATCGAAATACATATTCCGAACACATTTCGCCAACATTATAGTTAATTTTATTAGGATTATTTAATGTCACGCAAGTAATGTTAATAATGAAGCATGAAACTGCTATCTGACAAATAAAATTCCTCTGATTAGTAGAGTAATAAAATTTGATATATAAACATTTATGTTTTAAATAGCAAGTCAGTAAAAAATATACATTATTATTAGCAATGAATCATTAAATTCTTAATAAAATTAGCAATGTTAGTAAAACATTGGAATATATTTTTTTTAAAAAAACAGCCACATAATTCGATTTTGATAATAATGTGATCACCGAATCGTGAAAGCATTAAATCATTGCGAATTAGTATTTATTAATATGATTTTCATCAAATTTATTATTCGAATTTTGAATATCGAATCTACATTGTGGTCATTCATTTTCTATAGACCTATTTAAAATAATTGAAAATCTACACAACCAAACGATATTGCTCGATCGTGATTCTTTATTTCCAGGAATGTAGCGCTCTGATACTTGACTCATAGAGCACTGAATGAAATGAAAAGAAAAAGAAATATAAAGAAGGAGTAATAAAGTCAAAACTTTAAAGAAAAAAATGAAGGGATCAAGAAAATAGAAAACGTGCTGTGCACATTCTGTTCCAGAGGAACTGAAATAAACGATAAGAAAGAAACGACATCACTGTGTTATGCTACGACGACTTGCATCTGCCTCTAGACTAGAAAGAAACGTGCCACATTGAGACACGTTACATTTATGGGGTGGGAATTGGGAAAGGCTTCTTTCGAAGATAAGAAAAATATATGAATCCTGTCATCATTCTGGATACTTCTCGAGATCTTGTTTCACAAATTTCCTCGACGTTTTAGACAAGAACATTCTTCTTATCATAAGTATACGTACGTTTTTTTTTTGCAAGTAGTAGGAAATCAGTTTCTGTCGTGCGAGGCTGAAAGATATATATACTCAATTCTGCCGATGATCGAACGTGCTGCAGAATATTTAAGATAAATTTGCCATATGAATCTTGATCAAACGATCATCAAACCATAAATACTTCGACGAACGGATTGCATTCTGCTTGAGAAGGTGCAGGAACAGGAACACGTTTTTCTAAATCCATTCGTGGAAGAAAAGCTTCAATGCGTGGTTCTGCGGTTGGTGTATTTGTAGCAGGTACAGTCGCTCCTGGTGCTAATTGCAAACATTCCGCTGGAGTTAACTGAAAATACAATTATATGAAATAAGAAATTATCAAAAATATTTTTTAAATTAATTTTTTTATAAAAAGTTCAAAAATTTTAAAAATATTGTTTTGGAATATTTACCAAAGCTGCTTGCTGAGGAATCGCCGCAATACCACCAACATTTGTTGGGTTATAGTAATTAGTTGGACTAACTGGTGGCGAAGGATAAGGCCAATAAAAAATTGGAGGCGGATAATGTGCTGCAAATTGTGGTGGTCCACGTGGTAGCATTGCAGCCGCAGGTGGAAATATTGCGACTGGTGGCGGCGG